TAAGCAGAGAGTGAATGTCCATCTGTCAGGAGTGCTTTGATTGTGGGGCATGATTGGATGGCCCTTGGAGGTCCCTAGGATTCTATTATTATTATTATTACTAATACTATTCTTGCTGTTGTTATTAAGCAGACTTTCTCATTACTTAATTTTCCATAACACCAAAATGTGCCACCTCTGAAGCCAACAAGTTACCATCACTCATAAAAACACTGAAAAACACAGCAGAAGAGACTTAAAAAGCCAAAAATTTAAAAAATCCATTTTTTTTTTGTCATGTCAGGAGTGTCCTGTTGTTAGAGAATTGGCCGTCTGCAAGGACGTTGCCCAGGGGATGCCCGGATGATTTTTGATGTTTTATCATCCTTGTGGGAGGCTTCTCTCATGTCCCCGCATGAGGAGCTGGAGCTGATAGAGGGAGCTCATCCGCCTCTCCCCGGATTCGAACTTGCGATCTGTTGGTCTTCAGTCCTGCCGGCACAGGGCTTTAACCCACTGCGCCACCAGGAGCTCAAAAAAAAATCCATTACAAAAAATCCATTGCAACGCATGCACAAAACCACATATATACACATATACACAAATATACACATATACACATATACACACACAATACACATATACACAGACTGGGCCACAGCAACGCGTGGCAGGGGCTGCTAGTAGATAAATATATTTATACCCCGCCACCATCTCCCCAGGGGGACTCAGGGTAGCTTACATGAGGCCAAGCCCAGCAATACAGTAAGGCAATATACAACCAAACACAGCAGTAAAATATAAATAAAATAAAATAAAATACAAGAACCAGTGTATATGCCAGTGTAGAAGGGGTCTGAATGTTGGAATAAAGCACTGCAGTGCCAGGGCTGTGGGGCAGGTCCCATGGTTTTCACAGTTTCCTTTTCTAGCAATTTCCTGCTACATGACACTTTGTAGTATTTGTTCCCTGAGGCGGCTGCCTCCTTCTGCCAAATGACAGCCCCAGCCCTTCCTATAAAGCTGGGTAGCCTTTCTCAGGAACTCAAGGTTGTTTTTAATGTTCCGATTTCATCAGATTATCTTCTCCAAGTGCCCATTGTAGGCAAAGCAAGCAAGGATGATGAATACCATCACTGGTATATTTATCGTGTCAGGGGCAGACCAAACAGTTGTATTGCATTTTTAACAAACAAACACACAAACAAAACACAAAGTTTGCAAGCTTGGTAGTTAATTAAATGTCCTTTGACCAGTAGCTGGCCACTTGGGAGTGCCTCTGGTGTTGCTGCAAGAAGGTCCGCCATTGTGCATGTGGCAGGGCTCAGGTTGCATTGCAGCA